AGCGGAATCTAACATACAAAAATACACATGTATCAATGCAGATCAGAAAATCGGAATAAGTAATAGCGATAAAATTTCCGACGAGTTGGAATTCTGTGTTAAAAACTGTGTTATTTCTATCGCTATCGCTATTCCTTCCATTGTGCAAGGGGCTATAGTCGTCTCTCAGATCTCAGATCTCATCTCATCTCTTTCCCTCTCTTTTTCTCTCTCTCTTTCTCTTTCTCTTGAGATCTGAGATCTGAGATCTGAGAGACGACTATGAATTCGGGCCTAAGTCTCCTTATTCTTACTTCGTGCTCTGATCCCACCACAGACATTGGTCTAGTTTCCACCGAAACCCTCAATTCGGTTTCACTCCGGTACTGATCAAATTTAGTGCTCTGTTTCCATTGGAAGTAGAGTACTTATAGATCGAAGCGGAAGTGAAATCAGCACAATTTGACAGGTTTCCATCGACTTGAATTTGATTCTACGTCGCATTTGGTGTGAATTAATGCTTCGGTGGAAACTAGACCATTGATAGACAGAGAAAGAGTTACTATTCAAAGTATGTTGTCTTTCTCAACGTTGAAGACATCTTTTCAGCCAAACGCGCAGTCTATATATTATACGTCTATGGTCACTACTAACACATGTACACGTTTAGGTATGTAATCTATCTTGTTACATATACTACTGTAATCTATCTTGTTACATATACTACTCATTCGCGCGCTATCAAGTTCGATCTCCTTACTCTTATTTCGTGCTCTTGTCACACAAACGTTATTCTATCTTATATCTAATGAGTGATAAAGATAGAATGACGTTCGTGTGCACACGAGTGTTCTCGAACGCAGCCTAGTATAGAAATCTGTGGCTTCGACTCTTATCTTCTTTCGATAAAATGCGCGCGCAGTCTATGAAGGTTTGATGATTTCCAGTATATGCGGCGCCTACGTCGGGGTCGCCATCTTGTAAAAGTTAGAGTTCAGCTGGCTCCTAGTGCTTGGAGGTTTACGTGAGAGACGGAACGGCAACTACTCCGCCGGAGGCTGGAAGTGCCGCGCTAAAGTCGTTAGCACTACGGTCCTTGGCAGTCCCTGGGTATCCAGGTGACCTTGTGCGAAGCCAGGGTACCAACGAAACGCCAAGACAGTCACCAGCGGATCCTTTACATACGAATCCGTCGAAAGAGAGATGGTGAGTAGATTTATTAACACTCTTAAAGAAAATAAGAGAGAGAGAGAGAGAGAGAGAGAGAGAGCGCTGCGGACGATATTGTCGCGCGATGATGTTTCATTTGTTCGAGCTGGTTTTCCTATCTGTTTCTTCATCGTTGTCGCTCAATGTTGTCTGTCAAGTTAACTGTCATCGACTTCGGAGTTAGCGCCGGCATTTCTTACGATCATTGACGATTGGTTGCGTACTTGTTTTTACTTGCTGCGAATTGCAGTCGCGCAGCAATTCCGAGAATTATTGACAACACTGACGACCAACAACGAAAAAAGATAAAACGTAAACGACACGACGCTCAATTCGTCGGAAAAACTTTGCACTACAATTATTTCTTCTCCTTTTTCTCTTACAACGTAACTTTCGTTTCTCAAAAGCGATATTGTCTAATGATCTCTTGTAGCGCATAGAAAAAAATATATATATGTATATACATGAGATCTGAACAAATGTGGCTCGCGTCCAATACGCACAGGAAAGTTGACTTACGTTTCTTCCGCGCACTCGTGTATCGTTACATCGTCTTCGAGGCAAAGATCGAAAAAAAAGAGAAGGGTCGGGAGAAAGAACAAGAGTGAGTGAGCGTGGTAGCATTTCTCGTGTGTTGCTTGTTCGTAAAACTTAAAATTTAGAACAGTATATGTACGCGAAAATAGATCCACATGACCCACACAATCATTGATTATTATTGGTCAGTAATGTATGCATGTAGTAGAACAGAATTTTCGCGCGTGTTTGCGCGAACCGAGTGTTTCAGATGAGATCTGTCTGTTATCCTGTTTTTTCCTCTTTACATGATTGAAACGACGACGTACGCACACGGTATATGCTGTGCTCGTTTGTTTGTCGGTTGGTCGCTTGCCTGCTTGTTTGTTTGCTTGCACTTTTGACTGTCATCTCTAAAGAGGGGTGTCTCGGCGCAAAGAGGAATGGATTATATGTGCATCGTATGGTAATATATCTTTCTCTTTCTTCCTCTTCTCGTTTTTTGCCTTACACATGTCATACTTTTGTCGCGTGCTCCGCGGAATGCGAACGTGTCGATTAACTGGAACGTTGTAAACGTTTCCTCGTCTCGCCTCCTCGGCGGCTTGTGCTAGCCAATATTTGTGTGTGTGTGTGTGTGTGTGTGTGTGTGTGTGTGTGTGTGTGTGTGTGTCAGGGCGCGCGTGTGTGCGTATGGAACGTCGTCTCGTCGTTTCTTCTTCCCCTTGCGACAGATGCCGATCACGCAGCTGCGTACATTTATGCCAATCTCCGCAAAATCTGTCATTTGCAATCGACTTCCTCACGCCCGAAACCTTCGCTCTTCCTGTTGTACGAAAATCTAGTGGTGTTTCGTATTATATGTGGAGTTTATACAAATAATGAGAAAAGTCGAATGACATGTATGAAGACATTATGGTTTGTATAAATCTCCGTTTTGTGTTTTAATTAGAAATCGTAAGAAATATGTAATATAAAAAGTCGATGTTACTTCAATTAAAGTTTTTTTCTTAGTATGAATTATGAAGTAACGAACTTATATGTAAGAAAAAAGTTAATAACTAAATGCTCCAAATTAATGCTTTATATATTAATACTACAAATTAGAAGATTAACAAAATATAACTTGTTTTATTGAACCTTTAAGTGAACTATAATGTCTTTTCTTCTTTCTCACCTTTAAAACAAATATATTTATTGACAAGTATTGGTTTTAAGGCACATATACATACAAAAGTTTTTTTGTGTCTTGTCATGATCATACAATATGATTATGTGAAGAAACACTGTTTCTTATTTTTTTAAAAGAGTAGAAGAAAATTTTATTTTGATCAATTGACTTTATTTTTCTATTTTTAAACTTGGCAATATTGTTCTATATTTTTAATAGGAAATTTACCTTTTCTCTATTATATATATTTACAAAATTTTAACTAATTTTTTGCTGAAAGTTGAAGTAGAGTTTTATAGAGTTTTTATTTATACTTTACAAAAAAAAGAAACTTTTATTTATCACACTATACATTTTTCCTGGTATCAAACGTACATTGAATACATGTGTATATCTTGGTTTTCATAATCGTTGGTCTAGTTTGGCAATTGTGCTGAATATTCATAATTAACGGCCAGAATTACGTGATTTGCATAAATCATTATACTTGCATATAGGGAAATTTTGTGGCCATATTATAACTATTAGCTCTTAATAACAACTCTAACGACACTGGCGAAATAACGTCGAAACATTGTCGAAAAAGTTGTTACTTGTATTTATATTCTGTACATTCTACTATTTATCACTCTTGTTATTTGCTCACGATTATATCAATATATGCAAATAAATGGTTATAAATTCAAATTACTGGTATATGCGCATTAGTAGAATATTATCAAAATTACAGAATAAAGAAATACAAAATTTATATATTTGAATTAACAATATAACTGGAATATATATATATATATATATTATATATTATCATATATTTATATATTATATATTATCATATATTAAATATATATTATATATTATCAAAAAAAGTTATAATACTTTATAATGCTTGTAAAAAAATACGCACTTTCGGTCGCGAGTATTTATTGATAGCAATAATTTAATTCTGCGATGTACAAGTGACACAAAAAGTTGCATCAAAATCCCAATTGTCTCATTTTTCACTTATATAATATATAATTAATACATAATAATATATAATATATGTATGTAATTTAATTTTTTTACTCTTTCTACACAGGTAACCTGATATCTTATCAAAAGAAACGTATTGCTACTTTGGGCCGAACGTTCACTAAAAAGAGTGCAATTGCAATTGCGCTTGGACATTATTACAATGTTACATTTTGTTTTCTAATATAAAACATATTTTCTCAATTTTCTCAAAAAATCATGAAATAGATTTGCGACAATAAAAAGTAAATGTTCGAACGATAAAAAAGAGATTTATTTGTTGTTTAGAGTTCGACTTCGACCGGTGGTACGGAAGGGTCTAGTCCTGCGTCTAGCCCGGCCTCAGGCGCGAGTCTGACAATGGCACCAAAATACGGCACGTTGGTACCGAATCGTATTTTCGTAGGAGGTATCTCGGCAAGTACGACCGAAGCGGAACTTGCACAGGCCTTCTCAGTCTGGGGCAATGTCAAAGCTACGAAAATCATTTCGGATCGTGCTGGTGTTTCAAAGGGCTATGGCTTTGTCACTTTCGAAACCGAGGAAGAAGCCAAGCGGCTTCAACAGGAAGTTTGTAGTCGACTTGACTTTTGCAACTATTTTCCACACATCGTCGAACATACTGTTTCTCATTGCCGCTTTCTTTTTATTGCATTAGGCTGACTGTATTGTACTACGAGAGAGGAAGCTCAACATAGCACCCGCGATCAAGAAGCAACCGTTTTCTAGATCATTTGACGGTTCACCTTCTTCTGTGCCTACAAGTACTTACTATTATGCAAATGGTGCGTGATCGTTAATTGCGTGTACATATTATATATATGCGCAACATGCTTTCGATCGTGTTTTTCATTTGTCTTCCCTTTTTGCTTGTACAGGAATGGGTATTCCGTACCAAAACAGCGGTGTGACGTTCTACAATACTGCGCCTCCCACACCGGCAACTTCAATTGGTCCACCTACAGATCCAGGAACATTTTATCAAGCAGGAATGTTTGGTGAGCATATCCTGCTTCCCGTTCATGTATGTATGTGTAAAAATATTACCGATTAAAAGAGCAGTTTTGCATTTAGTGATTGTCAGAATGTTTAATTGAAATTTTGATTTTTTTAGTGTTCGTTTATCTTAAAATTAAATTCTTGCGAATATATGATGCGTTCTTTTCTCCAGGTCCTCAAGCAGCTACTGGTCATCAAGCGTACGCACCGATGATGTATCCGTGCCCACCGTCGCTGTATGTTCCACAGCAGTATCAGTTTCAGCCTATACCGGTACGTTAACGATTAACGATACCATTCGTTGCTCGACTGTTTTATTTCTTCGTACCTTTATGTTCTCTTTGACTTTTCGTTTAGAACGCAATCTTGGGTTCCTCGTATAGATCGTAATATAAAATCCTGATCGTTCTCTCGTCTCTTTGTTTTACATTTTTTATTAAACGATTTATATCGGTTACGGTTTGACAGACAAACGGTCTGATGGGAGAAGCCATACCACCGGCGTTTCTACCCAACCCTCAGCAAATGTCTACTTACGTTCTTCTCGACGCTATACAGTATTGAGGTCTAAAGGTATAAGGTCTACACTAAACGACTAGCATGCCGTTCGTCATTTGTTTTTTTTTGTTTTTTTTGTTTTTTTTTTTTTT